CTCTGAGGGAACAGAGGCATTTGGAAAAGGTCCGTTGTTGGCCACACTTCAGTCGAGATTCTCATCTGCACATAATTCACTTTCAAAGGGCAGAGGGGGCGGCAAAGAGAATCCTTAATTGCGCCGGCACCATGTACAACATAGACAAATGTTTATATCTCAGCCCTCTAATGAGAAACCAATAACGGATGCAAAAAGCACTCTCAGCCCCCCCGCCAAAATACACAGATACGAATACACATGACAATGAAAAACAGGCCTTTTGGAGAGCATCACCTCATTCATCAATAGCCCTTATACTCGAAGTCATGCAATACTCCACTCAGGCACTGATGCAGCAATAAATCTGTTTTTATAGAATGTAACATTGCCTATATTTCTCCATTAGGCTGATCTTGTGGTAAGGGCAAGGGATGCTTCAGATTGTAATGGTCAAGCTTCTGACAGGCTTATAAATTGCACCATACGGAGGCTTCACATGCAGCCCAGCTAAGCTAAATTGATCCACTATTCAAAAGGGAAGGAGTTCAGCGTGTCCACATTTTAGGTAAAGTATTCAAGGACATTCTGCTGTAAATTCATTCAAAAACATTTTTTTCAGATTGGTATTCAATCAAACATATGTTGCTTTCATCTTTACAATAAATGTTTTGAAACTTCAAACATGACAAATTTGTTGGGACAAAATAGGAAGTTAGCGTGTTTTGCATCACGTAACCCACATAATAAAGTAAAGACGACAGTAATTCTTTCAAGATGTGACTTTATGCAATGCCCTGTGGAGTTTTTAGTATCCTCATTCAAAATGGATGACAAGTTACAGGGCAAAGAAAGGAACAACAACAAACTGCCGAACACACAGCCATGAGAGACTATCTTCTCATCTCATCTATCTCCCACAATGCAGTGCGGTGGTCCGTCGCGGCAGAGCGCCAGTCAGACCGGTGAATCTCGGCGCAGGCTTATCTCCCAGCAGTTGAGGAGGAAACGGAGGTCCTTTAAAGGGCTGAGGTCATTTCCTCTGCCTCTGGGCTCTGGCAGGAAAAATAAAATGTCTCCATTCGGTCAGCCCTGCTTTATTTCAAATGCCGCCACTGCCTTTTAAGAGACCCTTGTGGGCATGGATGGCAAATGAGCGGTTTTGGGTTCTCGCAGTCTATTCCTTTTCATGCTCTCTCTGTCATCCTCAATCCCCCACTCTGTCTGTGATGCAAACCCCAAATCTCTGCTGTATTTCTACAGTAAATGTGAAAGTGCAGAGACAGATATATAGATAGAGCATGAGAGCGAGAGAGAAATACAGAGACAGAGAGGGGAGGAGAAGCAGTGTGAGAGTACAGAGGAGCATGAGAGCGAGAGAGAGAGAAATGAAGAGCTGAATGCCTCCTCTCACCCACAGCGCTTGACAGCCCTAAAGCCCTTTCACAACTTCCTGTTCCCATTTCTCTCTGAACTGGGCTACATCCAAAACATGTGTGTGTGTATTTATCGGCATGCACAGTTTATGTGCTTCTGTTGTGTACCCTTGCAAGAGTATGAGTTTATGTGTGTGCCTGGAAGCCTGTATGTGTGCGTGTCATAGAGTAAGGTAGGGCACGAGGAAGTGAGTCAGCCCTGGGAAGATAGAGAGGCTTGTTGAAAGGCCTGTGTGGTGCAGTGGTGGAGGAGAGCAGCCAGAAAAGGCAGGCACACATGCTGTGATGTAAGGAAGAGGACCGATAGATCTGTTGCATGGCCACTGCTGCTGCAAGAGTCTAACGCACCTCAGGCAGATGGAAGGGGAGTGCGTGCGGGGGTATGATTAGTCTTTGTGTGTTTGAGTGCGTGGGAGAGATGTAATACATGGTCTTAGTGTGTAGTTTTTGTGATGTGGTAAAAACACGGCTTTATAGCACTTACACATACTTGTGCAAGTGTATAGATAGATGTATGGAAGCGGGGAAACAATGTGCGTTCATGTTTGTGCGTGGGTGCCGTACCTGCGTTGGTTTATGTTTGTATGTACACTAAAATACGCATTTTCCTAACACCTGACCTGTAAGTACAGAAAGCGTCATCACTGTTTATCTGCTTTTCCACAACAGACAGCCTCCACTCCCACGCTCACTATTCCACCTCCGATATCATCAGCTATCCATCTTCCTATCATCTCTCTCATGCTCAATTTCATTCTTTTTATAGGAGTTTTATCGATGCAAAAAATAACTTCTGCTTTAGAAAGACATTCATCAGCCTTTAACAACATTTATGTAGATGCATGTAAAGGTAAATTAACATACATATATATCCCTACAGAAGCTATACACTTATCTGGGTTGTATGCTCAAGGCACTTTCATATGTTTATGATTTTTTTTGACAAATTATGTATTACATCTTATTACAAAGCAACAATCATGGAATTGACAATCTGCTGTTTTATTAAACTGATTTAATAAGTTTTAAAATATGAAAGGTTATCAGATGCCAAATCACAACATAGCGGTTTATAACAGTATGAGACAGGATTTATTATTAGTTATTACGGAGGCAATCACCAGGTAACACACCACTGATGTTACAGTGGTCTGATAACAGGAATGCGTGCTTATACATATTTGATTGGCCAAAGTAGGACCTTGCTAGATGACGTCATTTTGGGTTGTGGTAAATGTTGAGTGGAAAAGTGTTTTGCCAGAGCCATTTGTATCTACAAACGTATTGAAATGAATGAGGGCGATACATAAATGGGCTGGCAGAATAGGTTTTAGTTGTACACATCCATATACAGTACTTACTGTCTTTCTGTTTTGTCTCTACTTGTATTACATTTTGTGAATTTTTATCCAACTCATTGGTAGAATAAACCATATCCTGCCAGTAAGGTATATGATCATCATAATAAAGGATATACTGTACCAATAAAGTATAATAGCACCATACTATTAAAACGTGCAAACATGTTTGAGAACAGATATATAAAGTCAAACCAATTTCAAACTTGTTGAATTAATAACACAGGTGTGTGTGTGTGTGTGGGGGGGGGGTATAAAAGCAGAGTAGAGGCGTTAGTGAGTATGAGATATGTTACAGATGATTGTCGATCTGTCTCTCACACTAGCTCTCTCGCAGAGATGACTTGTCTGACCTCTTCGCTATCCCATTTTTCCTCACGTTGTTTTGGCAGTGCGCTCACTGAGCCGGACTAAACACAAATAACACAAGGGGGAGGAGAGGAGGTGGAGCAGGAGAAGAGACAGAGGAGAGGGGTGCTCACTGTGTGATGGTGGCACGTGGTGATAAGCTGCCATTCTGACATTTAAACAAGTGTCAGGTTCAGGGGGTCAGATGATTGGAAACAATGCATGACTAGATCAGGACGATGTGTCAATTTCGCTTTGTTACTGGGAGCACAGATGCACGCCAGAGCCCATCAAGGCTTCAATATGCCTGCTTGGCTGATTTACACTTTGATAACTGCTCACCTTTCAGGAGATTGTGGGATATGTATGTGAGAGATGTGGAGTTGTAGCTTCAGAATGTATGATTTTGTGGAGTTTCTCTTCTCCTCTACTTGTCTTTCAAACACTAAAGAACTGTAATTTTCTCGTCAAGGTTATTCTTTCTTCCTCTCTTCGTACACATCTCCCCTCAGTTCACCACCCTCTCTCTCACTGGGTGCAGAGCAGGACCATCCTTTCCACTCATAAAATACACCTGCTTGTATTTGCTTCTTGGCATCTCAGCAACGCTGCATTCCAGGATGGTGACTTATGGGAAACATTGTCTCCCGCATAACACAGTGGCTAAGCTGAGCTGATTTTTTTTGTGCTGTTTATAACTTGGGTCAGCTGGACACAGAGAGTGATAACCTGTGATCAAGCAGTCTATTTCTTTCATTACAGAACCTGATAGAGGTTTACCTCTACTTTTTTCCAATCTCAATCGGCCTAACCATGCTCAACTTAGCATAGGGTAGATTAAAGAGGAAAAAGACTGTGTCCTGTGACCTGCAGATACATCCTTCCTACTAACATGCATCCAGTCTTGTCTTTAATAGCCTGTAGGACTCACAAAAAAGGACCTGTCAAGATAATCAGCTCTTTTTTTCTCTATCCTCTAAAAGGCAGAACATTTTGACCCAGAGCATGCCTGGCAGAATAAACTCAGGTGTGGAGCAGGGTTAAAAAGGCAGCTTCACCTTGAAAGGCTACACTTCTGAGCCCGGGAAACCACAAAAAGCAATTAAAAGTATTGATGGAACTTCAATAGCTCTTAAACAGTGCTGCCAGGCACCTCGGGGCAAGTAGCACACTAATCTTTTTTTCCCCCTCTCATCTCTCTATCGCTCCATTCTGTCCCTCTCGCTCCCTGTCTTCATTGAAGACTAAGCTGGTCTTGATTATTAACAACTGATTGCAATACAAAAAAAATAAAAATTATTGCGCGAGTCTTCCCAGCCATGTGGGGCAGGTGGCTAAAGTGAAAATAGAGCCCCAAGAAGGTGAGTGTGACAATGATAGTAATTAGATTTTATCTAATCCCAACTTGCTTGTTAGCTCTCTAATTGGTCCAGTATGCGTGTATGTTCAAGCATGTAAATGTGTGTAGCGTGTGCGCTCCAGAAACAATTTGAAATGAGGAACTAATGTCATCGCCACATGTGCGCACCATTTGCTGTGCAGACACTAATCGACCTTTTATAGAAACACACTTTCCAAAAGATTGTCTTCCATATGACAAAACAGGAAATCGAAGAGGCGATAGGGAGGGGTTGAGACAGTGACTGCTTCCCTGCTTATCCTCTGAAGCAGGGCAGCACCATCCGAGAGCAGGTTGTTTACCCGAGCCTTCTTGCAGTGTTAAGCCAGCTACTCCCTAAATCACTGATTTACAGCGCAAGGCTTCCTAGGCTGATGTCTAAATTTACGCGAGGGCTGGGATTGCTATTCCTGTGACAAGAGTTATAGCTGGTGCACTAAAACAAGGTGGGTGTATAAGACAGACAAATTAATGACTTACCTTTGCACTGGTTGGTGTTCTTATCCAGAATGGCCTTGGTTGACACTATTTTTCCATACCTGTAAAGACAGAGAAATTCAATTTAGTCTCTTTGACTCAGAATGACCTACAGGACCTTTGACTGGTGGGGCTGTTCACTTAGATTGCCATCCCACGGTTGAAGTACATGTCTTATTCTCTATACTCTGCCATTTAGTTGCAGCTAGCAATTTGGTAAGTAGCACAAATGTCGAAAGCCAGCGGAAAGAGAAATCACTTGAGGTTAATAACATTATGTTTATGGCTGACTTCAAATGAATGTGCAGCCCTGTGACATTTGGGCGAGTCACTGAACATTTTTCAAAAGGTCTAAAAGCATACAAGCACAGTGAACTATCTTCAAAGTTGTTATATCAGTATACAGTACAACATTAAATTATGATGAATTCCTTTCATATCTAAAAACTGCACAATGAACAAAAAGCCTAAGCTCTCACCAGTGAGATAACCCAATAACAATACTCATTTATTCTACTACATAATCATCTGGTTAACAAAACATTTTAAACAGCATGGCATAACGTCTGATATCTCAACATCTTTTGGCTATTAATTAGCATTTGAAAGAGTGAACATGATATTAATTGTAATTTGTTATTGTTTTTTTCCTGGGCAATGTTTACATATAATGGTAACGGTGCTGTTTACCCATATCATTTTTTATCTAGTAAAAGTCTGAAGCCAAAAACGTTGAGTGAAGTGAATACAAGTGTGCAAGGCTTTTGGGTTCTTTCACTAATATAGCCAATTTATAAGCTGTAAGATGTATTTGACTCTCTGACACTGAAAAAATGTCCAAGAGAGACCACTATGCTCATTGTGTTATTGACTTAGCTCCCAGCAAAAGTGAAAGGTATTAAAATTCTTTCTCCCTCAGTACTGTGTGGACAGTGGGTTGTCATGACTTTTTTGGAATTGAAGACTGACCTTACTGACTGACAGTGAGTTATTCTATCTGCTTGTCCCAGCTAAAACTGCAACATGATGCACTGTGTGCAGGGCGAGAAGCACTGTAGCACTCTAAGTACAGTATGTGTGGCAGTTTACATGTGTGCATATACTGTATGTATTTCTATATGTGGGAGTGTGTGTGCAGCTGCACCATTGCTTGTACAATTACACTTGTGCATGTGATGTATACATGTCTGTGTTTGAATACTTAAGTGCGAACAATTCCCTGTGTGCTGAACACACATCACAATGAGTGAGCATGGGAAAGGCGGCTACGCTCTATACGTTTGGTGCACACACACACACACACACACACACACATATATACTGTAGGGAAGAAGCAGTGGTGCATCCCAGCCCATATTTCACCAGCAGGGGATAATTGTGCCATTTCTCAACGAGTGGCGGAGACTCTATTTACTGCATGCTGCGGTGGGATGGGTGGTGGATATGAACTGATGAGCTCCGAGAGGAAAACTACCAGCTCACACACACAAATACATATTCCGCATGAGTACACACACACACACACAAATATACACACACACAGAGACAGCAGTCACCAATCAGTGGATTGTGTCTCTTCTCCAGATAAACAGGCCATTTTAGCTATAGGGATCCATAATCTACTGCTACAGAACAGGACTAACGTGCAGTGTTTGATCACACTGAGGCACTCTCAAGCATAAGTACACAAGATGAACATGGAACAGTGAGTGCACATTTGATTAGAGAACATGCAGAGCTGGGTTAGTAACTGCAGTATTTCAGTGTTTGATGAGAAACAAACTACAGAGGAACTAACATGTAAGAATTAGCAAAAACATAGCAAGCTATATTGATTTTTTTGAGAAACTGTATATTGATTAAATAACCAGATGGAAATTAGCATTAGGTGATACTGACAAATTCATAAATGTTGATGTTTTACATCCAGCAACAAGAAACACTTCATGAAAAATGAATTAAAAAAGTGAATTTTTTGTTTTTTTAAATATGTGTGAATGTGACAACCAAACAAGAATGTCACTTCTATTTTAACTGAGCTAGAACATTCAAAAAATGATATCACTCAACTATAAAGCAGTCTTTAACACCTGGAAAATACAAGATTTAAGATATATGTCAAAAATAATGTAACAAAATCAGACATTTTGTTGGATCTTATCTCACAATATTGATATTGTATATATATTGTATTGATTTATTGCCCAAGTATGTTTATTCTTGTAGGCCAGTCTGTTTATTTGCACTCAGGTGTCTGCACTGCTCCGGTACTTGAAAAAATGTTGTATGCTTTCAGACTGGGAAACAGTTAAAAAGCTCAGAGCTTTTGGCACAAATTGGGGGAAAGTTCTCATTAAAACTTAGTTTGGACTCTGGGGAAGCAGGAGACAGTAGCTTTCCAATGCCAACTCATCACTGCTTGCCTCATTAAATGTTAAAGATGGCTCATCAATGCATCCTTTCCGCGGTCCAAATACACACCACAAAGACACTGCAGCGAGATGAAAAGGCAAGGTGGAAGGAGCCAGCTTTCTGCTCATAATGGAGACATATTGGAGACGGATGGATCCGCATGTATGTGCGCGCGTGTGGCTGTGGTCGACCCTGCTGGCGGCTCCTTCGCCTCTCTGCCAGGCAGGCCTGGGGAGGCTTTGATGTGACAGAGGCAGGCCCTGTGAAGCACAGGTTTAACACTGTGATGCTGTGGCCGGGATGCAGAGCCTGTCTCCACTAATCCTATTTCAATCACTCTCGCAGCCTCTTATCTCTGACTCCGCTGGCCCTCGGCCCGCCCTTCTCCTCACAAATCTTCTCCTCTCTCTTGCTCTCTCTCTTAATGTCTCTTTACCACCCTCTCCATTTCTCTTTCCTATACTGTAGCCTTCATTTCTCTCCTTTTGTCTCTCTCTTCCTCCTCCTTCCTAATAGAAATCCCATGGCAATCATTCTGATGCAATATCGGATCAACCCCAAGAAAAGAAGACGCCAGAAATGAAACTGCCTGTAAAAAACAGAGGCTTTATGAGCTATTTTAGGCTGATGAAAATGCACAAATTGTGGTGGATGTAAAACATGTCATTCGTTTGACAGCTGTCTGGGCACTGAAATGCGATAAAACTGAAGCTGAGCCGAAAGCTCAGCTACGTTTTTAAGAGGGCAGCTGCATGCACAAGAGTGACATCCCGATGGTGCATTTCTTTTCTCGCTCTCTTGCTGGATGAAACGATCCAGGCGTGTTTCATTTCCGTCATCAGAGCTGGGAATGTGAAGTGGCTCTTTACAGTATGTGGGCAGAGAGAGAGCTGGCCAGAACCACAACACATCACTGTGGTATTGCTGGTACACAGGAAAGCACAGAGCTGGAAAGGATGGACAGACCACCCAAGTGTTCTGCTGAGACCTGCTCTCAGCCTTTAAACACACTCTCCCAAAGGTCTGTGTGTGTGTGTGTGTATGTGTACACAACAAGGCAATGTCTTGAACAGTAGGTAGATGAAGTAAAGAGAAAGACACACACGTGGAAAGGGTTTGGCTTTACTGTGTATAAAAGCAGAATAACTTCAATTTATCACCTCTTGTTGGCCTTTATGCTAAATAATTAGCAGAATGTAGACAGTGTTGCTGAAAAAGAAAAAAGGTGCAGCGCTAAGAGATCTGCTCAGTTGGAGCAGGTGCAGCAGACACCCACAATCCAGATGTACTATTTGCTCTGTGCAGCAAATTTTATCCAAAAAGGGGTTTCGTAGGCCTAAAAAGTACATAGTTTTATTACAAAAATATGCAATGATGATACCACTGCACAGAGTAGCATTCAAATACATTATCTTTTTTATCAATTAGTTCAGGTAGTGAAAACCTTTTAAAACAATTTTCCTAAAAATAAGCATAAAGTATCAGCAGATAAAATAGTAATAATACATTTGTAAGATGAGCCAATTTCCTGTAAAGTCTTTTTGTGTAAGACATCAATTGTATTGTAAGACATGTTTGAGTACAGAATCCGTCAGCCAGTTTTAGTAAAAGGAACAGCTGCAGGCTAAAGATCATCACAGATTAATGCTTGTGTTTTCTAGTTTTTAGCTTTGGAACAGGAACGGCCAAGTCACCCATGTTTTCTAGCCAGTAGTAGGTAAAAAGTATTTTGTTCACTCCGGTCATCGGTAAGTATGTGCACATATAGAGAGAATATAAGTTAAGCCTATTCTCAACAACACTCAAGAGAACCTACAATTTCATAGGATGTGTTTTATTTCGTTAAGTCTTTGATGCTAATGCAAGAGACAGGTATCACTGTGGCAGACACACAGAGAGGACACAGCAGAGAAACATGACTTCTTTATACTTTTATCAAAGTTAAAAAAGGAGAAACAGGAAAGAGCAAAATACAAAGAGGATGAGCGTTAAAAATGGAAAATCTCAGACAAACAGCACATACAAACACATGATATGGTGCAAAGACAGAGAAGGTAAGACTATGTTGTTGTGAATGTGCATGTGTGTGCATATATAGTAAGTGCATGTGCATGCCTTGTCACTGAGAACCAGGAGGATTAGGAGTCATCTTGCTGTATAAAAGTAGTGTGTGGCAACTGCCCTTGACTGTCATCCCCAGTCTTATAGCAGCTACCGTGTCCCACAGCCTGCACATCTCTGTGGCTCAGACAGAGGTCAGGCCTCCTGTCCACCGGGCATCTTTCTGGATGGAAATATTACACAGATGCTTTTATGAAATGTTGTCGCTGCTGTAGTTGCTATGCGACCACTGAAAATCTGTTTGGTTGCTTTAAATATATATCTATATGTATTTTTTATTTCTAATGTTTTGCACTGTGAGAGCAAAAGACACACTGAACTGACAGCAGTTTTGGGTACACAGAACAGCAAAACTGTTAGAGTTTCCAATCTCCAACTGAAATTACTAACGGTTTACAAAAACTTAAAAAAAAAATTAAGATCTAGAGCCTTAGTTTTTTGATAAAGAATATGAAATCTAATTGCTTTTGGGTAGTTAATATTAAACAAAACCTTTTATGATCAGTAGTCAGCCGAATGATGCGCCATT